CAAAATCTCAAAATCTCAAAATCTCAGTGTGCGCATGCACAGAGTGGCCAGACGAAGGGAACAGCTAAAGAACAGGGGTCGACTTGGGAGGAAGGCCACAGGAGGACGATGAATGGCCCCTCCCAGAGGGAATAAAAGAGGAGCGACGGGGGAGTGGAGTTTGCAGGAGACAATTAGTTCGCTTTGTTGGTTCCTGACTCTCCGGAACTCCTTGCCAAGTTCTGCAGATCTCGGCCTGGCAACTCTCCAAGCCAGAGAAGGTCTGTGACCTTAAATCCTCCCTGGAAAGACTTTGCTGGAGGCGAATGAGCAGAAATTGATAAAAGGATTTTTTATCAGGACTAGGAGTTGGCTTCAGGCTCTTGGGAAGCCTGGGTCCCTTATAAGCAGTCCTAGCAGTTACAATCATCACCGCAGCCCCATGAACACAGGATCAAAAGTCACTGTATGTCATAACTATGAACACTAAAGAAACTGTTGTAAGTCAAGGACCACCTGTCTATGGGTATTACGACGGGCTCCAAACAGTCCTCTTACGAGACCCCCTGTGACACATTCCCCAAAAGCAAAATCTGCTTGTTGGCCCCACCCCTCAACCTTGTACCCCAAATTATTCTCTTACATTAGTTACTCCACTCCGGTTCCGTGCCACTGTCTGCGATTTGAGGGTGGTCTGCTCCACCCGCTTGCGAAGGGTCTCAAATTCGTTCTGGGGGTCGAGAATCAACAGACAAGGATACTCCGTCGGGCGCTGGAAGAATGCCATATCGGGATACAGTCGCCTACCGGGGAGGGGGGGAAGTGGGGGGGGAGGAAAGAAAGCAGATTTTTCAAACCTTCCCCAACATTTTCTTCTATATTGGAGCTACTAGTCATGGTTCAAGGACATCCTAGTTTGGGACTAACCAGTGCATGGGTCCCTGGATGTCAGAGATGACCAGGCTGAGCCCGAGGGAGGGGTCAAACGCATCACAAGTCCCCCTGCATGCCACCAAGAGATCGAAGTCTAGCCCTCTTTGAGTGCCCTTCTTATCTCCCGCTCATTTCCCTTAAGGGCCAGTTGGCCAGATTCTTGTCAAGAGCTTAAGCTGCCAAGGAATCTTTATACCCATTGGAACTGGCTGAGTCTCCCGGTTTTTTTGAAGGGCGACTTCACCATCCTGACCTACCGGACATCCTTGTCGATCTGCAAGAGGACTTCGTTGTCCTTGAAGTAAGTGTTCCACTGGCTGTTGGGGTTGGGGTTCAGTGGCTTTGAAGAACAAGATTTGGGGAGAAGGGGCAGTCAAAACCAAGCTGAGAGCAGAAGCGCAGACTTTGTCTTTTTTATTTATTTATTTACATCCTAACTTTTATTATTTTTACAAACAACTCAAGGCTGGACAACATCTCCAACATGCCTTCCTCCTCCTATTTTCCCCAGAACAACAATTGTGTGAGGTGGGCTGAGAGAGAGAGAGGGAGAGAGAGAGGGAGAGAGA